CTATATCCCCTATGAGCACAACCACATTAGAATCATCTACAAGTGAAAGTGGATCAACACTGGAAACTTCATTATCCACAACAGGTACCTCTCCATCTTCACCAACTTCTATGACAGAAAGTACATCAGAATTGACCTCATCTACCACAGAAATATCTTCAGCTAGTGTAGAACAAACAACAAGCCAGCAGACACAAACCTCTCCAGATACTTCGAGCACAGAAACTGAATCTACAACGACAGCTTACTCAACATTTACAGCTATGTCCCCTATGAGCACAACCACATTAGAATCATCTACAAGTGAAAGTGGTTCAACTCTGGAAACTACAATATTCACAACAGGTACCTCTCCATCTGCACCATCTTCTACAACAGAAAGTAGTTCAAAATTGACTTCATCTACAACAGAAATATCTTCAGCTAGTGTAGAACAAACAACAAGCCAGCAGACACAAACAACTCCAGATACTTCTAGCACAGAAACTGAATCTACAACGACAGCTTACTCAACAATTACAACAGCTATGTCCCCTATGAGCACAACCACATTAGAATCATCTACAAGTGAAAGTGGTTCAACACTGGAAACTACATTATCCACAACAGGTACCTCTCCATCTTCACCATCTTCTACGACAGAAAGTACATCAGAATTGACTTCATCTACAACAGTAATATCTTCAGCTGGTATAGAAGAAACAACAAGCCAGCAGACACAAACCTCTCCAGATACTTTTAGCACAGAAACTGAATCTACAACGACAGCTTACTCAACATTTACAGCTATGTCCCCTATGAGCACAACCACATTAGAATCATCTACAAGTGAAAGTGGTTCAACACTGGAAACCACAATATTCACAACAGGTACCTCTCCATCTTCACCATCTTCTACAACAGAAAGTAGTTCAGAATTGACTTCATCTACAACAGAAATATCTTCAGCTAGTGTAGAACAAACAACAAGCCAGCAGACACAAACCTCTCCAGATACTTCGAGCACAGAAACTGAATCTACAACGACAGCTTACTCAACAATTACAACAGCTATGTCCCCTATGAGCACAACCACATTAGAATCATCTACAAGTGAAAGTGGTTCAACACTGGAAACTCCATTATCCACAACAGGTACCTCTCCATCTTCACCATCTTCTATGACAGAAAGTACATCAGAATTGACTTCATCTACAACAGAAATATCTTCAGCTAGTGTAGAACAAACAACAAGCCAGCAGACACAAACCTCTCCAGATATTTCTAGCACAGAAACTGAATCTACAACGACAGCTTACTCAACAATTACAACAGCTATGTCCCCTAAGAGCACAACCACATTAGAATCATCTACAAGTGAAAGTGGTTCAACACTGGAAACTACAATATCCACAACAGGTACCTCTCCATCTTCACCATCTTCTATGACAAAAAGTACATCAGAATTGACTTCATCTACAACAGAAATATCTTCAGCTAGTGTAGAACAAACAACAAGCCAGCAGACACAAACCTCTCCAGATACTTCTAGCACAGAAACTGAATCTACAACGACAGCTTACTCAACAATTACAACAGCTATGTCCCCTATGAGCACAACCACATTAGAATCATCTACAAGTGAAAGTGGTTCAACACTGGAAACTCCATTATCCACAAAAGGTACCTCTCCATCTTCACAATTCTCTACGACTGAGAGTACTTCAGAATTGACTTCATCTACAACAGAAATATCTTCAGCTAGTGTAGAACAAACAACAAGCCAGCCGACACAAACCTCTCCAGATACTTCTAGCACAGAAACTGAATCTACAACGACAGCTTACTCAACAATTACAACAGCTATGTCCCCTATGAGCACAACCACATTAGAATCGTCTACAAGTGAAAGTGGTTCAACACTGGAAAGTACAATAACCACAACAGGTACCTCTCCATCTTCACCATCTTCTACGACAGAAAGTACATCAGAATTGACCTCATCTACCACAGAAATATCTTCAGCTAGTGTCGAACAATTAACAAGCCAGCAGACACAAACCTCTCCAGATACTTCTAGCACAGAAACTGAATCTACGACAGCTTACTCAACATTTACAACAGCTATGTCCCCTATGAGCACAACCACATTAGAATCATCTACAAGTGAAAGTGGTTCAACACTGGAAACTCCATTATCCACAACAGGTACCTCTCCATCTTCACAATTCTCTACGACACAGAGTACTTCAGAATTGACTTCATCTAAAACAGAAATATCTTCAGCTAGTGTTGAACAAACAACAAGCCAGCAGACACAAACCTCTCTAGATACTTCTAGCACAGAAACTGAATCTACAACGACAGCTTACTCAACAATTACAACAGCTATATCCCCTATCAGCACAACCACATTAGAATCATCTACAAGTGAAAGTGGATCAACACTGGAAACTTCATTATCCACAACAGGTACCTCTCCATCTTCACCAACTTCTATGACAGAAAGTACATCAGAATTGAGTTCATCCACAACCGAAATATCTTCAGCTAGTGTAGAACAAACAACAAGCCAGCAGACACAAACCTCTCCAGATACTTCTAGCACAGAAACTGAATCTACAACGACAGCTTACTCAACATTTACAACAGCTATGTCCCCTATGAGCACAACCACATTAGAATCATCTACAAGTGAAAGTGGTTCAACACTGGAAACTACAATATCCACAACAGGTACCTCTCCATCTTCACCATCTTCTATGACAGAAAGTACATCAGAATTGAGTTCATCTACCACAGAAATATCTTCAGCTAGTGTCGAACAATCAACAAGCCAGCAGACACAAACCTCTCCAGATACTTCTAGCACAGAAACTGAATCTACAACGACAGCTTACTCAACATTTACAGCTATGTCCCCTATGAGCACAACCACATTAGAATCATCTACAAGTGAAAGTGGTTCAACACTGGAAACTACAATATTCACAACAGGTACCTCTCCATCTGCACCATCTTCTGCAACAGAAAGTAGTTCAGAATTGACTTCATCTACAACAGAAATATCTTCAGCTAGTGTAGAACAAACAACAAGCCAGCAGACACAACCCACTCCAGATACTTCTAGCAAAGAAACTGAATCTACAACGACAGCTTACTCAACATTTACAACAGCTATGTCCCCTATGAGCACAACCACATTAGAATCATCTACAAGTGAAAGTGGTTCAACTCTGGAAACTACAATATTCACAACAGGTACCTCTCCATCTGCACCATCTTCTACAACAGAAAGTAGTTCAGAATTGACTTCATCTACAACAGAAATATCTTCAGCTAGTGTAGAACAAACAACAAGCCAGCAGACACAAACAACTCCAGATACTTCTAGCACAGAAACTGAATCTACAACGACAGCTTACTCAACAATTACAACAGCTATGTCCCCTATGAGCACAACCACATTAGAATCATCTACAAGTGAAAGTGGTTCAACACTGGAAACTACATTATCCACAACAGGTACCTCTCCATCTTCACCATCTTCTATGACAGAAAGTACATCAGAATTGACTTCATCTACAACAGTAATATCTTCAGCTGGTAAAGAAGAAACAACAAGCCAGCAGACACAAACCTCTCCAGATACCTTTAGCACAGAAACTGAATCTACAACGACAGCTTACTCAACATTTACAGCTATGTCCCCTATGAGCACAACCACATTAGAATCATCTACAAGTGAAAGTGGTTCAACACTGGAAACCACAATATTCACAACAGGTACCTCTCCATCTTCACCATCTTCTACAACAGAAAGTAGTTCAGAATTGACTTCATCTACAACAGAAATATCTTCAGCTAGTGTAGAACAAACAACAAGCCAGCAGACACAAACCTCTCCAGATACTTCGAGCACAGAAACTGAATCTACAACGACAGCTTACTCAACAATTACAACAGCTCTGTCCCCTATGAGCACAACCACATTAGAATCATCTACAAGTGAAAGTGGTTCAACACTGGAAACTCCATTATCCACGACAGGTACCTCTCCATCTTCACAATTCTCTACGACAGAGAGTACTTCAGAATTGACTTCATCTACAACAGAAATATCTTCAGCTAGTGTAGAACAAACAACAAGCCAGCAGACACAAACCTCTCCAGATACTTCTAGCACAGAAACTGAATCTACAACGACAGCTTACTCAACAATTACAACAGCTATATCCCCTATGAGCACAACCACATTAGAATCATCTACAAGTGAAAGTGGATCAACACTGGAAACTTCATTATCCACAACAGGTACCTCTCCATCTTCACCAACTTCTATGACAGAAAGTACATCAGAATTGACCTCATCTACCACAGAAATATCTTCAGCTACTGTAGAACAAACAACAAGCCAGCAGACACAAACCTCTCCAGATACTTCGAGCACAGAAACTGAATCTACAACGACAGCTTACTCAACATTTACAGCTATGTCCCCTATGAGCACAACCACATTAGAATCATCTACAAGTGAAAGTGGTTCAACTCTGGAAACTACAATATTCACAACAGGTACCTCTCCATCTGCACCATCTTCTACAACAGAAAGTAGTTCAAAATTGACTTCATCTACAACAGAAATATCTTCAGCTAGTGTAGAACAAACAACAAGCCAGCAGACACAAACAACTCCAGATACTTCTAGCACAGAAACTGAATCTACAACGACAGCTTACTCAACAATTACAACAGCTATGTCCCCTATGAGCACAACCACATTAGAATCATCTACAAGTGAAAGTGGTTCAACACTGGAAACTACATTATCCACAACAGGTACCTCTCCATCTTCACCATCTTCTACGACAGAAAGTACATCAGAATTGACTTCATCTACAACAGTAATATCTTCAGCTGGTATAGAAGAAACAACAAGCCAGCAGACACAAACCTCTCCAGATACTTTTAGCACAGAAACTGAATCTACAACGACAGCTTACTCAACAATTACAACAGCTATGTCCCCTATGAGCACAACCACATTAGAATCATCTACAAGTGAAAGTGGTTCAACACTGGAAACTCCATTATCCACAACAGGTACCTCTCCATCTTCACCATCTTCTATGACAGAAAGTACACCAGAATTGACTTCATATACAACCGAAATATCTTCAGCTAGTGTAGAACAAACAACAAGCCAGCAGACACAAACCTCTCCAGATACTTCTAGCACAGAAACTGAATCTACGACAGCTTACTCAACATTTACAACAGCTATGTCCCCTATGAGCACAACCACATTAGAATCATCTACAAGTGAAAGTGGTTCAACACTGGAAACTCCATTATCCACAACAGGTACCTCTCCATCTTCACAATTCTCTACGACAGAGAGTACTTCAGAATTGACTTCATCTACAACAGAAATATCTTCAGCTAGTGTAGAACAAACAACAAGCCAGCAGACACAAACCTCTCCAGATACTTCTAGCACAGAAACTGAATCTACAACGACAGCTTACTCAACAATTACAACCGCTATGTCCCCTATGAGCACAACCACAATAGAATCATCTACAAGTGAAAGTGGTTCAACACTGGAAACTCCATTATCCACAACAGGTACCTCTCCATCTTCACAATTCTCTACGACAGAGAGTACTTCAGAATTGACTTCATCTACAACAGAAATATCTTCAGCTAGTGTAGAACAAACAACAAGCCAGCAGACACAAACCTCTCCAGATACTTCTAGCACAGAAACCGAAGCTACAACGACAGCTTACTCAACAATTACAACAGCTATATCCCCTATGAGCACAACAACATTAGAATCATCTACAAGTGAGAGTGGATCAACACTGGAAACTTCATTATCCACAACAGGTACCTCTCCATCTTCACCAACTTCTATGACAGAAAGTACATCAGAATTGAGTTCATCCACAACCGAAATATCTTCAGCTAGTGTAGAACAAACAACAAGCCAGCAGACACAAACCTCTCCAGATACTTCTAGCACAGAAACTGAATCTACAACGACAGCTTACTCAACAATTACAACAGCTATATCCCCAATGAGCACAACCACATTAGAATCATCTACAAGTGAGAGTGGATCAACACTGGAAACTCCATTATCCACAACAGGTACCTCTCCATCTTCACCAACTTCTATGACAGAAAGTACATCAGAATTGAGTTCATCCACAACCGAAATATCTTCAGCTAGTGTAGAACAAACAACAAGCCAGGAGACACAAACCTCTCCAGATACTTCTAGCACAGAAACTGAATCTACAACGACAGCTTACTCAACATTTACAACAGCTATGTCCCCTATGAGCACAACCACATTAGAATCATCTACAAGTGAAAGTGGTTCAACACTGGAAACTACAATATTCACAACAGGTACCTCTCCATCTTCACCATCTTCTACAACAGAAAGTAGTTCAGAATTGACTTCATCTACAACAGAAATATCTTCAGCTAGTGTAGAACAAACAAGAAGCCAGCAGACACAAACCACTCCAGATACTTCTAGCAAAGAAACTGAATCTACAACGACAGCTTACTCAACATTTACAACAGCTATGTCCCCTATGAGCACAACCATATTAGAATCATCTACAAGTGAAAGTGGTTCAACACTGGAAACTCCATTATCCACAACAGGTACCTCTCCATCTTCACAATTCTCTACGACAGAGAGTACTTCAGAATTGACTTCATCTACAACAGAAATATCTTCAGCTAGTGTAGAACAAACAACAAGCCAGCAGACACAAACCTCTCCAGATACTTCTAGCACAGAAACTGAATCTACAACGACAGCTTACTCAACGATTACAACAGCTATGTCCCCTATGAGCACAACCACATTAGAATCATCTACAAGTGAAAGTGGATCAACACTGGAAACTTCATTATCCACAACAGGTACCTCTCCATCTTCACCAACTTCTATGACAGAAAGTACATCAGAATTGAGTTCATCCACAACCGAAATATCTTCAGCTAGTGTAGAACAAACAACAAGCCAGCAGACACAAACCTCTCCAGATACTTCTAGCACAGAAACTGAATCTACAACGACAGCTTACCCAACATTTACAACAGCTATGTCCCCTATGAGCACAACCACAATAGAATCATCTACAAGTGAAAGTGGATCAACACTGGAAACTTCATTATCCACAACAGGTACCTCTCCATCTTCACCAACTTCTATGACAGAAAGTACATCAGAATTGAGTTCATCCACAACCGAAATATCTTCAGCTAGTGTAGAACAAACAACAAGCCAGCAGACACAAACCTCTCCAGATACTTCTAGCACAGAAACTGAATCTACAACGACAGCTTACTCAACATTTACAACAGCTATGTCCCCTATGAGCACAACCACAATAGAATCATCTACAAGTGAAAGTGGTTCAACACTGGAAACTACAATATTCACAACAGGTACCTCTCCATCTTCACCATCTTCTACAACAGAAAGTAGTTCAGAATTGACTTCATCTACAACAGAAATATCTTCAGCTAGTGTAGAACAAACAACAAGCCAGCAGACACAAACCTCTCCAGATACTTCGAGCACAGAAACTGAATCTACAACGACAGCTTACTCAACAATTACAACAGCTATGTCCCCTATGAGCACAACCACAATAGAATCATCTACAAGTGAAAGTGGTTCAACACTGGAAACTCCATTATCCACAACAGCTACCTCTCCATCTTCACCATCTTCTATGACAGAAAGTACATCAGAATTGACTTCATCTACAACCGAAATATCTTCAGCTAGTGTAGAACAAACAACAAGCCAGCAGACACAAACCTCTCCAGATACTTCTAGCACAGAAACTGAATCTACAACGACAGCTTACTCAACATTTACAACAGCTATGTCCCCTATGAGCACAACCACATTAGAATCATCTACAAGTGAAAGTGGTTCAACACTGGAAACTCCATTATCCACAACAGCTACCTCTCCATCTTCACTATCTTCTATGACAGAAAGTACATCAGAATTGACTTCATCTACAACCGAAATATCTTCAGCTAGTGTAGAAAAAACAACAAGCCAGCAGACACAAACCTCTCCAGATACTTCTAGCACAGAAACTGAATCTACAACGACAGCTTACTCAACAATTACAACAGCTATATGCCCTATGAGCACAACCACATTAGAATCATCTACAAGTGAAACTGGATCAACACTGGAAACTTCATTATCCACAACAGGTACCTCTCCATCTTCACCAACTTCTATGACAGAAAGTACATCAGAATTGAGTTCATCCACAACCGAAACATCTTCAGCTAGTGTAGAACAAACAACAAGCCAGCAAACACAAACCTCTCCAGATACTTCTAGGACAGAAACTGAATCTACAACGACAGCTTACTCAACATTTACAACAGCTATGTCCCCTATGAGCACAACCACAATAGAATCATCTACAAGTAAAAGTGGTTCAACACTGGAAACTACAATATCCACAACAGGTACCTCTCCATCTTCACCATCTTCCATGACAGAAAGTACATCAGAATTGAGTTCATCTACCACAGAAATATCTTCAGCTAGTGTAGAACAAACAACAAGCCAGCAGACACAAACCTCTCCAGATACTTCTAGCAAAGAAACTGAATCTACAACGACAGCTTACTCAACATTTACAACAGCTATGTCCCCTATGAGCACAACCACATTAGAATCATCTACAAGTGAAAGTGGTTCAACACTGGAAACTACAATATTCACAACAGGTACCTCTCCATCTTCACCATCTTCTACAACAGAAAGTAGTTCAGAATTGACTTCATCTACAACAGAAATATCTTCAGCTAGTGTAGAACAAACAACAAGCCAGCAGACACAAACCTCTCCAGATACTTCTAGCACAGAAACTGAATCTACAACGACAGCTTACTCAACAATTACAACAGCTATATCCCCTATGAGCACAACCACATTAGAATCATCTACAAGTGAAAGTGGTTCAACACTGGAAACTACAATATCCACAACAGGTACCTCTCCATCTTCACCATCTTCTATGACAGAAAGTACATCAGAATTGAGTTCATCTACCACAGAAATATCTTCAGCTAGTGTCGAACAATCAACAAGCCAGCAGACACAAACCTCTCCAGATACTTCTAGCACAGAAACTGAATCTACAACGACAGCTTACTCAACATTTACAACAGCTATGTCCCCTATGAGCACAACCACATTAGAATCATCTACAAGTGAAAGTGGTTCAACACTGGAAACTACAATATCCACAACAGGTACCTCTCCATCTTCACCATCTTCTATGACAGAAAGTACATCAGAATTGAGTTCATCTACCACAGAAATATCTTCAGCTAGTGTCGAACAATCAACAAGCCAGCAGACACAAACCTCTCCAGATACTTCTAGCACAGAAACTGAATCTACAACGACAGCTTACTCAACATTTACAACAGCTATGTCCTATATGAGCACAAACACATTAGAATCATCTACAAGTGAAAGTGGTTCAACACTGGAAACTCCATTATCCACAACAGGTACCTCTCCATCTTCACAATTCTCTACGACAGAGAGTACTTCAGAATTGACTTCATCTACAACAGAAATATCTTCAGCTAGTGTAGAACAAACAACAAGCCAGCAGACACAAACCTCTCCAGATACTTCTAGCACAGAAACTGAATCTACAACGACAGCTTACTCAACATTTACAACAGCTATGTCCCCTATGAGCACAAACACATTAGAATCATCTACAAGTGAAAGTGGTTCAACACTGGAAACTCCATTATCCACAACAGCTACCTCTCCATCTTCACCATCTTCTATGACAGAAAGTACATCAGAATTGACTTCATATACAACCGAAATATCTTCAGCTAGTGTAGAACAAACAACAAGCCAGCAGACACAAACCTCTCCAGATACTTCTAGCACAGAAACTGAATCTACAACGACAGCTTACTCAACATTTACAACAGCTATGTCCCCTATGAGCACAACCACAATAGAATCATCTACAAGTGAAAGTGGTTCAACACTGGAAACTACAATATCCACAACAGGTACCTCTCCATCTTCACCATCTTCTATGACAGAAAGTACATCAGAATTGAGTTCATCTACCACAGAAATATCTTCAGCTAGTGTAGAACAAACAACAAGCCAGCAGACACAAACCTCTCCAGATACTTCTAGCACAGAAACTGAATCTACAACGACAGCTTACTCAACATTTACAACAGCTATGTCCCCTATGAGCACAACCACAATAGAATCATCTACAAGTGAAAGTGGTTCAACACTGGAAACTACAATATCCACAACAGGTACCTCTCCATCTTCACCATCTTCTATGACAGAAAGTACATCAGAATTGAGTTCATCTACCACAGAAATATCTTCAGCTAGTGTAGAACAAACAACAAGCCAGCAGACACAAACCTCTCCAGATACTTCTAGCACAGAAACTGAATCTACAACGACAGCTTACTCAACATTTACAACAGCTATGTCCCCTATGAGCACAACCACATTAGAATCATCTACAAGTGAAAGTGGTTCAACACTGGAAACTACAATATCCACAACAGGTACCTCTCCATCTTCACCATCTTCTATGACAGAAAGTACATCAGAATTGACTTCACCTACAACCGAAATATCTTCAGCTAGTGTAGAACAAACAACAAGCCAGCAGACACAAACCTCTCCAGATACTTCTAGCACAGAAACCGAATCTACAACGACAGCTTACTCAACAATTACAACAGCTATATCCCCTATGAGCACAACCACATTAGAATCATCTACAAGTGAAAGTGGTTCAACACTAGAAACTCTATTATCCACAACAGGTACCTCTCCATCCTCACAATTCTCTACGACAGAGAGTACTTCAGAATTGACTTCATCTACAACAGAAATATCTTCAGCTAGTGTAGAACAAACAACAAGCCAGCAGACACAAACCTCTCCAGATACTTCTAGCACAGAAACTGAATCTACAACGACAGCTTACTCAACAATTACAACAGCTATATCCCCTATGAGCACAACCATATTAGAATCATCTACAAGTGAAAGTGGATCAACACTGGAAACTCCATTATCCACAACAGGTACCTCTCCATCTTCACCATCTTCTATGACAGAAAGTACATCAGATTTGAGTTCATCCACAACCGAAATATCTTCAGCTAGTGTAGAACAAACAACAAGCCAGCAGACACAAACCTCTCCAGATACTTCTAGCACAGAAACTGAATCTACAACGACAGCTTACTCAACAATTACAACAGCTATATCCCCTATGAGCACAACCACATTAGAATCATCTACAAGTGAAAGTGGTTCAACACTAGAAACTCTATTATCCACAACAGGTACCTCTCCATCCTCACAATTCTCTACGACAGAGAGTACTTCAGAATTGACTTCATCTACAACAGAAATATCTTCAGCTAGTGTAGAACAAACAACAAGCCAGCAGACACAAACCTCTCCAGATACTTCTAGCACAGAAACTGAATCTACAACGACAGCTTACTCAACAATTACAACAGCTATATCCCCTATGAGCACAAACACATTAGAATCATCTACAAGTGAAAGTGGTTCAACACTGGAAACTACAATATCCACAACAGGTACCTCTCCATCTTCACCATCTTCTACAACAGAAAGTACATCAGAATTGACCTCATCTACAACAGAAATATCTTCAGCTAGTGTAGAACAAACAACAAGCCAGCAGACACAAACCTCTCCAGATACTTCTAGCACAGAAACTGAATCTACAACGACAGCTTACTCAACAATTACAACAGCTATATCCCCTATGAGCACAACCATATTAGAATCATCTACAAGTGAAAGTGGATCAACACTGGAAACTCCATTATCCACAACAGGTACCTCTCCATCTTCACCATCTTCTATGACAGAAAGTACATCAGATTTGAGTTCATCCACAACCGAAATATCTTCAGCTAGTGTAGAACAAACAACAAGCCAGCAGACACAAACCTCTCCAGATACTTCGAGCACAGAAACTGAATCTACAACGACAGCTTACTCAACAATTACAACAGCTATATCCCCTATGAGCACAACCATATTAGAATCATCTACAAGTGAAAGTGGATCAACACTGGAAACTCCATTATCCACAACAGGTACCTCTCCATCTTCACCATCTTCTATGACAGAAAGTACATCAGATTTGAGTTCATCCACAACCGAAATATCTTCAGCTAGTGTAGAACAAACAACAAGCCAGCAGACACAAACCTCTCCAGATACTTCGAGCACAGAAACTGAATCTACAACGACAGCTTACTCAACATTTACAGCTATGTCCCCTATGAGCACAACCACATTAGAATCATCTACAAGTGAAAGTGGATCAACACTGGAAACTACAATACCCACAACAGGTACCTCTCCATCTTCACCATCTTCTATGACAGAAAGTACATCAGATTTGAGTTCATCCACAACCGAAATATCTTCAGCTAGTGTAGAACAAACAACAAGCCAGCAGACACAAACCTCTCCAGATACTTCTAGCACAGAAACTGGATCTACAACGACAGCTTACTCAACATTTACAACAGCTATGTCCCCTATGAGCACAACCACATTAGAATCATCTACAAGTGAAAGTGGTTCAACACTGGAAACTTCATTATCCACAACAGGTACCTCTCCATCTTCACCATCTTCTATGACAGAAAGTACATCAGAATTGAGTTCATCTACCACAGAAATATCTTCAGCTAGTGTAGAACAAACAACAAGCCAGCAGACACAAACCTCTCCAGATACTTCTAGCACAGAAACTGAATCTACAACGACAGCTTACTCAACAATTACAACAGCTATATCCCCTATGAGCACAACCACATTAGAATCATCTACAAGTGAAAGTGGTTCAACACTGGAAACACCAACATCATCAACATCAACATCAACAACTTCATCATCATCATCATCATCATCATCAACACCAACATCAACATCATCATCATCATCATCATCATCATCATCAACACCAACATCATCATCATCATCATCATCATCATCAACACCAACACCAACATCATCATCATCATCATCATCATCATCATCATCAACATCAACATCATCAACATCAACATCATCAACATCAACATCATCAACATCAACATCAACAACATCATCATCATCATCATCATCAACACCAACATCAACATCAACATCATCAACATCATCATCAACACCAACATCAACATCATCATCATCATCATCATCAACACCAACACCAACACCAACACCAACATCATCATCATCATCATCATCATCATCAACATCAACATCATCAACATCAACATCAACATCAACATCATCAACATCAACATCATCAAAACCTCCTTTATCCACAACTTTTAGTTCAGTTTCAACAACTCAAAACTGTCTGGAGCAATGTCAGTGTAGTGGATCTCCATGCATTTTCAATGTAACATCTGGGAAATGTGAATGTAAATGCAATCCTTTCACTTATGGAGAAACTTGCAATTTCGCAAATGACTCTTCTACGGCTATTTTGTGTAAGTATTCATCATACTTTACTTTTCTTATATTATATTACACTTGTTGTTGGTGTTCTCTATTTCCTCTTATTTTCCACATTTGTTGTAAATAATTATTTCACTGTACTGTGTGTATTGAATCAATAGAAATTCAGCCCCTAAGATACTTGTAGCCAATAAGTTTTTCATCTGAAAGTTAGTTCCTGCTTAAATGTTTTAGAGCTAAAATGTCACACAACCCACATACATACTTGATGTCCTTAAAGTTCTTTTATTACAAAAGATTTAGCACAATAGTTTCAATTTGCAGCTCACTTATGTCTCTCATGTTCAAATATCGAATTCTTTCTAATCTTTCTAAATCTATTATTTATTTGCAGCTGGAGGAATACCCACAAGGAAGGCAAATATCTCTCTTCGAATTTCGATGGACTATATTCCTGAGTATGGAAATTTGAACTCTTCCGAATCGAAAAAACTAATTTTCATCTTAAAACAAGAGGTACATTTTATAATTCCTTTTCCTGAAGTAATTTAAAGCTCACCCATTTTGTAAAAAAAAAAAAAAAAAAAAAATGTGTTGATACAGTGGACCTAAAAGTATTCAGACTCTTAAGCCAAACTTATAAAATAAATCAAATCAAAAATATATGAACGTTATTTGCATTTGATTTTTTATTTATTTAACAGAACAGGTCTGAAATCAAATTAGATTACAAAAAATGATTGCAATACTTCAATAAATCCTTAACTAATTTAGTTAATTGCATAAGTTATTATCTGCATATTTGCAAAATATATTGTATAAATATTTATATGCAGGAAAAAAACATATTTTTGTTTTTTTAACAGCTTTCAGTTCTTTGCAAAAGAGCAAATGCACAAAACTTCAAAGACGTGCACATTGTTAGGCTAAAGTAAGTTAATTTATCTTGAATTTCGTACATTTACTAATATATTTGCAAAGCAAAATTATATTAATATGTGGCATGTACTTTTTCAAGGAGTGGAAGTGTCGTTGCTGAAAGTGTTGCAGAATATAACTATCCCAACAACAACTCACAAATAACGTTTCTAAATACAAATCTGGGACCGACTCTGGAAAAAATATTTGAAGACCCAAATTCCCTGAAAAATCTCACCGTAGCTCTCGGTAATCGAAGCATCGAAGCTAGCAATATTACCATGGAGAATGCTACAGTATTGGGTAAGTTACCTTTTTATTTTAAAAACAGATAAGATATCATCATTTAACATATTTTAGTAAGAAACAAAAGGCAGAATTCCTTTAGGGGACACATTACTGTTCTACCATTATTTCTAATGTTTCTGTAATATGGCTCCAGATGTCTTTTGTATTCATTTATTGAGATCTTTAATTTGGATATCACCTTTTTTTATCTTTGTCATGTGTAGATATTTCAGAACTAAAACCATATGTGAACTGCCCTGAGAATTTTGCAAACTTAACGGAGGAGATTGAAAATGGAGTATGGGTATGTGTGGGATCATGCAAAAAAAATATCAACTACTGCAATCAACATGGTGAATGCCTAAATGCAATAAATGGACCACAGTGCAAGTAAGTGCTTCAATGCAAATTCTAATAATTACAAACTGCACAGTCTACAGTTAATCAAAGGATATTTTCTTTTAAAGGTACACTATGTAACTTTATGTTTTGTGCAATATTATTAAATAAGCGAGTGCATCATGAACCCATCTTCCAAACCATGTTTATGTCTTATCCTGAATCACTATTGGTGCTTTTCCACTGCATGGTACTGCTCGGTAGGGCTCATTTTTGGGGGTTTCCCACTGTGTACAGTACCTAGTACTTTTTAAGTACCACCTCAGTAAAAAAGAAATGTTAACCTCATATTTAAAATAGCAATTAAAAAAAATAATCACACATTTTAATTTGATGGGCAAAAATGAAATGTCTGCAAAATGCGATGTCTTCAGGAATTTAGGGGGCGTTTACACAAACTTTTTATGCGCTTTGGCTGTTCTTACACAATAACGGCATTTTAGGGGCCTGTAAACACAAACCTTTGAAAACTAGTTTAAAATTGCTGGTTTTTGAAACCGATACCATTATCATCTCCGTGTAAACTACAAAAATGCGAATTTGTGAAAATGGTGACGTCATGCGCAAGTGCTATATGTTCAGTCTATAGGCGCGTAGTGTTTTTTTTTTTTTTTACAGTGACATCTACTGGCCTGGCAGCAAAATACAGCATTTTTTTAGTCGTTTTTGCAGATCCGTGTAGCGTTTTGACAACGAAAAACTTAAAAGCGATACTTTTCAAAACCGCAAAGGAAAAACGTTTCCGTTTTTAGGGTGTGTTTACGGAACATCGATGTACTTAAAAACAGAAACGTTTTTCCTTTGCGTTTTTGAAAAGTGTTGTGTACAGACGACAACGTTGTCAAAACGATCCACGTTCACACAGATCCGTGAAAACAACTTAAAACGCTGTATTATGCATGCCAGGCCAGTAGTTAGAATTAGAATTAGTTGACGATGTTAGAATTTATTTTATGTAAATAGTGTGTATCCATTGGTCGTAGTGGTGCAGTAAATCTACACTAGAGAAGCATTAATAAACTCAGTATCTTAAACAGCAAAAACACAGTCCTGTAGTCTGCCATTGTCGTATTGGTTGTCAAGTACTCGTGCACGCCTATAGACTGAACACGTAATACGCATGCGCATGACGTACTCTAAGAAATGATTTCTTAATGATATCCTTTCCTACTCTTTTTGCCAACTGTCCAGGTGTGCCAGTTCTTACTTTGAGAAGTACTATGGAGATCAGTGTGAGCTGTACAGCAGAGGGGCTGGTTTCTACGCAGTTCTCTTCGGCAGTTTAGCAGCTTTTGCTCTACTTATCATTGTTTCAGCTGTGATGGGTGTGGTGCTCTACAGGGCCAAGAGGTCTGTAGAACTTTTTATGTGACTTAAGCATTCAAACATACAAAAAAAATAAAAAAAATAAAAAAATAACTCCATAATCTAATTTCAACAGAACGTCAAGAAAAAGGAAGTTATCGTTTTTTGATGATGTCGTCTTTGATTTTACATCAAGAGGTATGATGTCATATTGTTGCTATACCTACGCATGCTTTAGTAGATATACTCCAGCTGAAGAACAGACTCTCAAACATAAGAAATGATGTGACGTAGGCTATTATAATTGAAAATATTTACTATATTATTGCAGGATCCATAGACAGAGGCTATGGGCATCAAAACTTTTCAGCCACAGAAGACTCAGAATCAGGGTCTTATGGAGCGCCCAATTATCATTCATCTGCATGGTAGGATAAGAAATTATATATATATTTTTTAATATATGAGAAAAGGAAGAAAACCTAAAATCAGCAGTCAAAATGACTAAGATATTATAAGATCATTAATGACACTAAATATGTCTTGCTGTATTTGTGGTTGTTATTTTTTTGATTACAATGATTAATGTGATTTTATTTAATCACAATATGCGAATCTTTTTTTTCCTCTTTGCAACAGATAAGACCAGAGTAACTGAAGTGATGGATGTCTGGTTTGCCACGCCGACACAATCAATCACAAAACACGGCCAATCAGAACAATCCTCTCTGTTTGCGCACCCCTATCGCTCTGAAAACTAAGCACACATACCTTGTATGTTTATGACTTCTGTGATGCTTCTCTATAGGGCATGCTTTTAATGGTGTATCGTGTAATGTCCTCTTGTAAACTTTACGCAATCACTCTCCATGTTTGGTAATTAATATACATTAGGATCTGCACATCGGTCCAATGAGCTGTGATGTGGGCGGGGCTTCCTGCTCAACACACACACACACACACACACACACACATATTGCTCGTCGCTTGTTGATGATAGGAAACGAGTGAGAGCTGAAGAGAAATGCAGAGAAGAATCCTGGTATGAGAGGGTGATATCGGGAATAAAAAAAATACTATTAATAATAATCCTCAGTGTTGGGTGTAATACATTAATATCTAATTAATTACTGTAATTTAATTATTTCCCCTTGAAAAAGTAATTTAAGGGATTACTCTTCATTTTTTTGTAATTTAATTACAGTTACTTCTGGTGTAATTGCATTAAATACTGTATAGACTATAGAACAATTAAACAAAAGTGGATTTAATATCTAACGTTAAAACATTGCCTGTATTTTTATGTAACTCTTTAAATACTTTGGTAAGGTCAAGATTTATTCATGCAATTTTATATTATTTATTTGAAAGAATTAAAAGAGCAGTTTCGTATTTTGTATTTGTTCAACTGCTAAATGTTGATATGGGACTTAGAAAGTAATGCAATTTAGAGAGATTAATTAGTAGGTCTATAGTAATCTAATTACATTGTGTAATTAGTAGCTAGTAATTAATTAGTTGTGTTGATTGTTTTTGTTGTACATTACATATATCTAGTCCTATGTGCCTTTTGATATGATAGCAGGGAATTTACATTGAGAAGCACATTAAAATATTGTTAAATTAATATTTATAAAGAAAATAACTGTGTTGAATACATGTTTGCAACTGAAATTCTTCAAATAAAGCATATTTTGACTATTGTAGGCCATCATGTTGACTGGTATAAAAAAAAATGTTTGTTGCAATGTCGTTGTAAGGTCACTAGGAGGCGCTGCAGACTTAATTACACGGCAGCTAATCTTCACCTGTCATTTGGCTGCTGCTTCTCATCAAAGGCCTCTTTTTCTTGTAAATATTACTGTAGCCCATTCTCTCAAACCTAAACAAAACATTTCCCTCATTTTGCTAACAGTCCCTGGTTTACTCTTGTCATTTAACGGAGGCTTTTATCCAAAGTTACACTTAATTCAGGTTTCAGGGACAGTCCCCGGTAAGTTGTGTTGCTCCAGACCAGGACACAATGGTGGTAGTTCATGGATTGTATTGTTTGAGCCCAGATCTTTAACCACTGGGCCACACCTGCAGGATTGCAGAAGACAACAGAGACATGAACGAAAGTCTACGTACTGTACATGGCATCATCTTCAGAGAATACCAAATTAAAAAGAATTCACATTTAGTCAATTTTCCTCAGCACTGACTAGGAAGTTAATAATTCTTGCAAAACTTAACATTAGCTTTGTGATGATTTCACAATCATTTCAAAAGCACAACTTATATAAACTATAATCTCAAGAGTGTGAGCGTTGGGTCACTGGCTATTGGTGGTGTTCACTGTTAAATGGGTGTAACTGATCATCACTTTAATTCTTTAGACCGCAGGAAGGAACTCATTCACATTGGTCCTGGAAATGAAATGCATTGGTTTATATGACAAGTAAATGTGTTTATAAATTCAAAAAATGTAAACCATTTTCTTTTAGGAACAGGTTAAGGGTGTGGGTTTGGGTTAGTCTGTAATCATCATAATTGGATGTATATAAAACAACAGAAGTCTATGGTATGTCCTCATTTAGATAGCCAAGAAACCATGCATGTGTCTGTGTGTGTGTAAGACAGTGAATGTTTTCGTAGGGTTAACAGATAATAGATTTGAGTCAAGGCCATCTAAACAGGTTGTTTGCTTATTATAGACCTTAATGTATGTGGTTCAACCATCTTCAGTCCCTTCCTTTTGTCTGCTTTTGATCAGGCTGTGATTAATCAGGAAGCTTATCTTCCTTTAAGAGTTGAATTACTGGTTTGCAAAGAGTCATTTCCATTTCACATGTTAGGTGAATCGACTTACATCACTGAAATTACTATTCTGTGTCATTACTGTATATTTTAGTACATATTTCAAAAATTCCATAAGATAAAAATAACATTTCCTGTTCATTGTTAGCCATGATTTTTTTAAGCTTAGACAGCATCAACCTCACACAGTTCAATGTTCCTTAGAAGTCCTCAAAAGTTTTGTTATTGTAAACCAAAACAACATTTTGAAAATTATTTTTGTTAGAAATAAAGCTGGAATAAAATAAAAGAACAAACTTGTAGAAATCTTGCCTTGACAACTAACTGAAACAAATAAGTTTATTAAAAATACTAAAGATGACTAAAATTACAAATTAAAAGGTAATAAAATGACCAAAAAATAAATAAAAATTCCTAAAACTTGAATATAAAAAGGTAAATGCAGAAGAAGGTGAAAAGCATGACTTCATTTCCTGTTATCCGAGCCAAATTTGTTAAATGGATCAGTTTTTGGACATTATAGTTGCTCACGTCAGCTGCTTATCGTTTCATCCGAGGCTTTAGCGCCAAAAAAAGACCAGAGAAACAACATTTTCCCCAGTCATCAAAGCATAAAATACCAGTCTATGCGAGTAATTCCCAGGTTTGCTAGATAGTGCCCTGTAAAGCAGCTCCAAAGACACACATCCCCACACGAGCCACGGACCTGATCCAAGATCGGTTTTAAAGTGCAAAAGACCAGTTCACCTTCCTCCTGTCTGGAGCCAGGCCAGTAGTAATGAGGCAGAGCGCAGGGGCGTGGATGTGATAAAACAGGCAAAACAGCTATATCTGTGTTCCACAGCGATACGACACACTTCACAGAACGAAATACAACAGAATATCAGATAAAAACAAACTTGATTCATAAATAAGTATTTATTTCTATTACTTTAAAGGATACAATCCACTAAGAACTATTCAGTTTGGGTAAGAGGACAATGTTAAATACTTTTACACATCACAACATACTGTTTTATCAGTGCACTTTGCTTTATATCTATATTTTTATATATACACACACACACATACACACAACACAGCAGAGATGTCTATTTCTTCTTGAACTTGCCTTCATTTTTAGGTAAGACTGCAAAAGGAAAATAAAAACAATGTAAACATTTTTTGATACAGAAACTAGTAAAATAAATGGTAAAAAAAAAAAAAAAGCATGGCAACAAATGAGTTCAAATCCCTTTGTGAGGTGGAAAGTTGTATTGACCTCAGAGCTTCCAAACAGCATGTTTTTAAAGTCTTACTTTCCTCTTTTCTTTTCTTTTTTTTCTTTCAAATTGCATGGAACTTGCTACATTTACTGAGTTATCACGATGGTTCTGGAAACAATATAGAATAATAAAACATCTCATTCACCAGCTGCCAGCAGCCAAAGTCTCAGGTGCCCACACCCATTGTAATCACGTCTAACAGGAATGCACGTACAGTAACAGGAAGATCAGTATGTGTGAGCTTGGCCAAACGCAACACATATGGACTTTAACTCCACATAGCTCTTAAAAATCGGTCGAAGATGCGTTTTCATTGAGGAAGTGTTAATGACTGACTGTAGGGAATGGGCAAAACATAAAGAGACACAGATCAGGGGCAATTGTTTCCTCGTACGGACTTGCATGCGTCAAGGGAGATCGTATTCGTTGAGTCTTTGTAATCCGTAGTTGGGTATTTAAGAACAAGAATTATAATGGGAGGTAGTACTCGAGAAAATCCTATTCCAGACAATGGCTCACAGCTTCACGTGGAGACAGCACTTTAAAAGATGAGATAAACACATTCACAGGTTTTATAAGTATTGCTTTTTGTGCAACAAAAGAACACACTACACCTTAGCAAGAAGCCAGGGATCGGAAATACTCCGTTCGTTCAGAGGGCAACATTTCAGCTGCCGTTTTAAGCAGCTTATAAAAGCAGTGCCAAAATTGGGCAAATGTAACACATTCAGCTCTCGTATCACTCACACACTCAACTCAGAACAGAAAAGCAATACTTAGCCTGTTCCAATGTAACACACACACTCAAGACTACAAGTTTTACAGACAGGCCACATAAAAGCGCACAAAAGAGTGTCCTGACAAAGGCTGAGAGAAATATAACAGAAGAGCTGCGAAATAGTGTGCATGTGTCAGATATCATGCATGCATGCATGCAGTATGCAATGCAAAAAGATGGAATAACCTTCACTTAAAATGCCGGCTGCAAAAAAAGCCAGGCTGTTTTTATACTTCATATATGGTAGACGACATAAACGTACGGAAGCGTTACTGACCCTATGTCCCCATGATCAGATGAACGTTCCAAGACATAAAGATTATCATCAATGCAATATAAAATGAGACTACGAAAATTTACAACACTGAAGTATGGAGGTACCAGACCAGCTAATACCCAACAACTGCACCATGTCATCATTTCAACACTTACATTTCACATAACAATGAAATAAAAATCATAATTTCCGAGCTCGCTCTAAGAGAACTGTTAGAACGGTTTCCAGGTTGAGAGCAAAACAAGAGAAATCCCAGTAACTGCAATTCATACGTAACTCGCTCGATTTCACGAGCACTACAGCAAAACTGCGACAAAGCAGCAACAAAAGTCTTCGGACAAACGTGTCCCAAGTGATAGCTCGCTTTATTTCATACCAAGTCTATTTGGTGCGTCATTTTCTTTTTGCTTTGACAGTCCCAGTCCGAACTCGAATCGGAGGCATCCGTGCCTCGACTCGCTGTGCTGTCCGTTAAATACTTCTCATGTTTGTCCAGGTATGGTGGGCGTTGTGGCAAAAGGAAGTAGTGCGTGTTGCTGGCTTTCCTGCCATTCTCCATGACGGGCAGAATGCATGGGGAGCCTTCACTATTCTGTCGTTGCAGACCGCGACTGACGTATTTGGGATCTGGGGCAAAGCTCTGCGTAGGGGGCATGATCCCGTTGAGGTACATTGGGAGGCTCTTTGGGCTCGGGGTGCGGGAACTACTGGCGGAAAAAGGTTCTCTAGGGGGAACTTTGGGAGGTCGGTCATCGTCACTGTTGGCTCCCGATGAGACTTCGGCTGACCAGCGCCGGTAGTCTCCCGTTTTGATAGGTCGTGGGGGAATAGGAACTCTCGGAGGAACTTCTGGTTTTTCCAGGCCTTGTGTATTCCAGTGGTGACTGGATAGCCGGAAGGAGGTGGGTTTGTTGAAGCAGCCGGCAGGGCCAGAATGGGATCGTCGCAGCTTTCTTTGCGTACGTTCCTGCTGTCTGAGACAGTTCTGCTGCTGTTGCTGGTGGTGGTCGCGGAGCTCCTGTTCCCTCTGCTGGGTTTCCCGCTCCTGCCTCAACTTCTGTTGCTGTGGCTGTTGCGGTTGCTTCTGCTGGGATGTTGGACCTTCAAAGTAGGCGTAGTTAATCTGTCCACAGCCCCTGAAACTCCTCCTACTAGGCATTCCATACCGGAAAGGAGAGTGTTTGGAGCAAGGTTCGGAAACCAGGCAGCGATTGTCATCTCCGTTGAAGAACTCTACTTCACTGTCCACAGCCTGATCCGGTGAAAGCTCAGCTGAACCGGGAATTGGGGGAAGGGGTTTGGTGACTCGGCTGGGCGTCTGGGGAGGACTGATGCGGTCAGATACGGTTAGACGTTGAAAGCAGGGAACCACTTGGTCGTTTTTGGCAGGGCTAGACGTAGAAAGGTCTGTGTGCAAGGTGAGCTGGGAAGGTCTGGGCTTTTTGGGGGGCAAGGGCTGGCCTCCTGGGCTGTTTGGTGATTGAAGAGGAGTCCGCTGTTCTGTTTGAATGGAAAGATGGCAGAGAATGAGAATACAGCAGGTTTTAAGACTGAAATTAATCAATTGTTCTTTTATGCAAACTATACAAATAACCCCACTGTCAACGGTGTTAAAGATGTAGCCGCAAGTGGAACAAAAATTACACTTCCCCTTAAAGCTGATGATTTTCTCCAACAGTATTACATTAAGTTATTTTAGATCGGGCAGGCACTTTTATCCAAAGAGCATTTCAAGAAATATTATCAGTTTGTGCATTCCCTGGGAATCAAGCCCGTGACCTTGGTGTTGCTAGCACACCCTAGTTCACAAGTTTAAGGAATAGTTCACCAAAACATTTAAATACAATCATTGTTTACTTCAAATCGTTGCAAACTAATATACTAAAAAATACAAGAGAATAATTTTGAGGGACACTAGTGCAGCTCTACCTATACACAGACCGTTCACTTCTGTCCATCTCCAAAAAGGACAAAAAATTGCAACAAAAGCAGCATAAAAGTATCACACACACTATATTTCACTAAATTAGTCTTCTGTTCTTCTTGGAGCCTGACAGACATGGTTGTTATCAATTGTCTTTTTATGTATTAAAAAAAAATGTTGGAAAAAATACACCATAAAAGTTTAAGGGGGGAGTAATTTTTGAGTGAACTTTTAATAATGATGAGACTTATGTTACTTACTTTCCGCTCCTGAAAATGATGGCAGCACCTGTTGCTGGGATTGATGGTTAAAATCCCTAGAAGAATCAATGGTGAAGCATAAGCTGCAAATTAAGAACAGGAAAGCTAGTCAGATTGATGCACAAATCCAAGGTTCATTAGCATCATGAAAAAAACATTTTGCAGACCATTTCTTTTTTTTCTGTTCAGTCATGCAGTGCATGTCCAAGGTCTTATAAAATGAATACATTTTCAACTCTGAAAACATGTGAAAAATGTGCACTCACTTGTGTAGATCATGGTATTTCCAAGAGGGCTTAGCTCCGGCCATGCTATGCCAATGGCTGCCCCGCAGGAAAAGGCTTTGCGCGGGTAAACAGATCTCCTGGGCAGTCAAGCCTGCAGTGGACATGCTCCAGCTGCAGTCGGTTCGCATTCAGGCCAGGAAATGTTCCTCCCGCCAAGCTGGCAGCTGCTGGCCTGTACCTGAAACACAGCCATGAGAGGACAAGAGCATGAATCTCTGGAATACCTCCTACACAGGAATACGATTAAATGTAGTCTCCTGCTTCTCAGATCATCTTTCTTAAAGAGAAAAGGACCTAAATTGTAATGCATCTTATCTAGAGTTTCACAAGAGCTCTTACACTTAAGAGCTTATGATTGAAATAGGACAAAACTCAAAGGAGATCTTTCCAACATCTCATTTTGTTTTCTCCTATACTGCAATGAGCTTAAATGGAGATCAAATTAAGACTTTCAGAGGAAAAATTCCCTACTAATCTCTCACGCTGAGGTCTCTTCTGAAACTCAAGAGGAGACACAATGGTTTTAAACTCAAAAGATCTCAATATGTACTTAAACATTTCTAAATCAAACTGATCCACTTCCATTATATAGCCCAACTCTCTACTCTTACTGTACATCAGCTAGTGTCTTTTTGTGTCTATTTTCATTTCTGTTAATTCATTTTAATAGAAACGTCCAAGATTTACAATTGCAAGGATGCATCTGGCAGACGCTTTTATCCAAACCGACTTGTATTGCATTCAAGGTACACATTTTTTGTCAGTTCTTGCTTTCCCTGGGAATCGAACCCATGACCTTAGTGTTGCTAGTGCCTTGCTCTACTGATTTAGCTACAGGAAGATACTTTTTTTTTTTTTTATAAATACAGCCAAGAGCTCCATTCAGTCTCCTAAGCTATGAGAGAGCAACCTTTGAGCAGTGAAATTTTCCAGTGAGATCTCACTATTAACTACAACCTTTGCCTCAAACTCCTAATTACTGCTTATAATAATTGGAAGTATTAAGGTGGTTGTTAAGTTAAGGTATTGGGACGGATTAGGGGATGTCGAATATGGTCATGCAGAAAAAAGCATTAATATGTGCTTTGTAAGTACTAATAACCATCCAATATCCTAGTAATATGCATGGTAATAAGCAATGAGAATTGGACCCTAAACTAATACCGAACATTCAAACCTAATTGAGATCATTGCAATGGTTTTGCTGTTGTTGTTGTGGAAAAACAGACATTTTGTCTAGTTGTTTATGGAGCCCAGGGCAATCAGCACACCATCAACGCACCTCCTCCTCGCTTCCCCTCGCTTTGTAAAGCAGTCAGCCATGTGCACGGGACTCCAGTCGCGCTCTTTCAGAGAAGAACATTGAGCAACATTCTGCTGAGCTTCACAGCCAGTGGAATGACAAGCGTTCAGTCTGACAGCACTAAACGACATGTATGCCCCCCAAAGCCTTGAGGATAGTGCCAAACTGAATGCTCTCACACAATGTCACACATATACAAAACAGCCCACATCTCACTTCAAGACTCATGCTCAAAAAATACTGTTGTGTACAATTTATCAGTTTTCTGTGTTCGATGAAATATTGCACTGTAATTTTGTCTGCAAGCACAACGACATTCTGAGAGTCTTGTGCAAATGCTATTCTCACAGAGGAAGTCTAATATCAAAGTATATATGCAAATGAGTCTCAAATTTCCTGCCTTGGGAACACATCTTATGTTTAAAGGAAATTGCATCTACTATTACTATTTAGTGTAACACTAGAGATGGTCTACAGCAGTTGCTTCTAGAGTAGAATCCAATAAAACACTTTTCACTCTTTGAGAAACCAGCTTTACACCCTTGAGAACTTGAAGAGTGATGGACCTGGAGGCAAGGTTCATCCTGGTTTTAGCTTACAAACACATATCACGCTCACAAGCTATCAAATCACCAACATTACGACAGTCTTCCTGAGATAAAACAACTCATGTAACCTATTACAGAGCAATTAGCATTTTTATAGAACAATTTATTGCAGGGCTGTTTTACAAGGCAATACATTTCTGCAGAGCTGAGTGTGATATATGCAACAGGTGATTTAATTAATATTACAGATTTCAAGAATAACCAATACAGATTTGTACATGATGCACAGAATAACATCTATGACTAGTCAAAGAAAGCAATGCAATGCCTCTTCATAAATGGGTATGTGCTTAAACCGGGTCAATTGGTTCAACGGGGACGTGCATTTCTGTTGACCGTCCCTGATCCGGTGCATAAATGCAAGCAGTTTTGCCTCCTGAAAGCTTTGGACCTTGGATACGGTCACTATGAGCACACAATGCAACCTGATCTGTGATAAAGAAACCCACGGGACAAGCGCTTCCTCTCACAACAGGTGCAAGACGGACAGACTTCCTAGTGTCCGGCACAGACATTTCTCATTGCTTTCGGGAAGACAATGCCAGTGTGTTGCACAGACGTTAAGTAAACAAAGCGTGCCAAATGTGTTCGCTGTGGCGTAAACCCCATGAAACCTCCTTCAAAACACTTACAGACACACATTTACTAATTCTACCCTCTTTTGCATTTAAATCTGAGATTATGGAGATATTTGGTTGCATTGTGCAAGAAATGCATCACAGTTCTCTCAAAAATTACAACAAAGCATATTTTAGTTCTACTAAGATTGTGACATATGTTCATGACAATTAAGCACATTTATTATTATTTTTTAATTAAATCAGCATTCAGGCCACATACAACATATACAGCAATGATACAATAAATATTCTTTTTTTTTGCATTACAGTAAATAAATTTACAGAAAACAAGACATTTTTGTATTTGGATGACTTGTTATTGTGAAAATTATGTCAGAATGAAAATAAAGTACATTACACTTTACAGTAAGGTTCCATTTGTTAACATGAAAAATACTTTGCTCATTGTTCGTTTCCATAACATTCACTAATGTAAAGTGTTAACAAAAATAGTATGGTTCTCGAAATAGGCTTCATTTCCTTCATGCAATATAATGTCTTAATTTTGCAGTGAAATGTGGACATGTTCTTGACAGACTAGCATCCAATGGATCTGATGGAAATACCTGAAATACTGCTTATGAACACACAGCACTTCAAAATCTACTGTAATGTGTGCATATTCAGAACAAACACCCATTCCGTCCCCTTATTTTGACAAAAAAAATATATTTAAAAAAGAGGTCCAATAATAAAGTGTTAAGTCATTGTACATACATGGACACAAATTACGAAATATCTGCATCCTTCCTGACAAACTACCAATATGACATTGTAAGAAGGTATGAAGGAGAGACAGTCTCGCGCGTTCACACCCCGCCGCGGTTTCCAGGCAACCATACCCGATCTACCTGTCCGCTTCCGCAAACTGGCGGGATGAGTCACTTAAACTCTATCACACCTGACGAAACACACCTCACACATCTCTTTCAGAAAAAAAGACTGATGTTCCACGAGATGAAGCAACATGTATTTCAACGTCACATGTTATGACACTGCAATGGGATTTTTGTCAGCTGATAATCATCCGTTTTGTTGTTATTATAATAACAAACGCTTAAAAATCTAAAAATTAAATGAAAATATAAATGAAATAATGAATAAATTAATAAATAAATTAAATTGTTTTAGAACGGTTCCTGTGCTTCCCTCCTAATTGAACACACACACTCTTTATCGGATGTCCTGTCACAGAATCTGATAATATCGTTACACACGTCACTGTCGTCATCAATACGCACGCACACACACATAGCGAGACAGACAGACCACAAACACTGTAGCAAACACATTAAAATTCACCTTATTCTCCTGGTAGATTCTAGGTGTCCGGTGTTAAATGTTCATAATGCCGTAATGATCCCGTTCGGTTCGTTTGAAAGCTGTACTGTATCTCTATGGATGCGCAAGGACTTTCATTACAGCGGTCGAGAGCTTCGTTAAACGGGTCTCAGTGTGCGCGGTGCTTTAAATGCTCACTGCAGTCAGAGGACGCGCAAGCCACGCCCCTTCAGACGGGATTTAAAGACACAGTGCGCACAATGGTGTTATATATGTGAATGTCTCTGCATTATTGTTACCCTTTCTGTGTTTCTTGTTCTGTATTTTTAGACTATTGGTTATAACTTATATATATAGAGAGAGAGAGTACCAGTCAAAAGTTTTGAAACAGTACTGTTTTTAATGTTTTTGAAAGAAGTCTCTTGTGCTCATCAAGCCTGAATTTATTTGATCAAAATGCAGGGGGCAAAAAACAGTAATATTGTGAAATATTATTACAATTTAAAATAATATTTTTCTATTTTAATATACTTTAAAATATAATTTATTTCTGTGATGCAAAGCTGAATTTCCAGCATCATTACTCCAGTCTTCATTGTCACATGATCCTTCAGAAATCACTCTAATATGATGATTTATTATCAAAGTTCGAAACAGTTGTGCTGCTTACATTTTTTTATAACCTGTTATACTTTTTTTCAGGATTCTTTAATGAATAAAAAGTTTAAAAGAACAGATTTTACTTAAAATAGAAATATTTTGTAACAAAATATATCATATACAAAAAAAACTTTTTTTTTCTTTCTTTTTTTGAAAGAAATTAATAGCCTACTTTTATTCACATAGGATGTGTTAAATTCATTAAAAGAAAGTGATAGTAAAGACTTATTTTGTTAGAAAATATTTCTATTTTGAATAAAAGCAGTTATTTTGAACTTTCTATTCATCAGAGTCCTGGAAAAAAATTGTAACATTTAATAAATGTTTCTTGAGGAGCAAATTTTAGAATGATTTCTGAAGGATCATGTGACACTGAAGACTGTATGTATATATAGTATATATATATACTGTATATATATATCATCATATACATGATATATTCAACAGTAAATAATACAATATGCTACATAAACTCATCAAAATATTCAAAATCACACTTAAAAAAAATAACAGCACACATCCACAACAGTTAACAAAAATGCATTTCCAAAAAGATAAACCTTTTTTTTTTTTTTTGAGTTTAGACTATTAGCCTTAGCAAATGTTCTGTTTTTGCCTAAATAGAAACATGTCTTTGTTTTTCCCCAAAGTAAAGCCCTATTAAAATTGAAATCCACTTTACCTCTCTATTATTAAAAACACAATAACTGAGTCAGAAAATAGATTATTTAGGGTTTGTTTCAGAGCCATAGTTTAAACAAACCTGTGCATCAGAAATATTAGAAAACATGATATAACCATAAAGTATAAAAAAAATGTGGCTTTGAGGCAGACATCACAGCAAATAAACAGCTAAAACCAGACAGACTGCTAACATGACATGACAGTCCAGAGTCCCTGGAGTCAAGAAAACTTATTTGAACAGACAGACAAGACCATACAAGGCTAAAGAACCTCAGTGAGACGTGCAAAGAGAGGCATTTAATGCACAGAATGAAGAAAATAAGGGATCACGGCCCCAGTGAATCCACACAGACATTGAGACAGACATAAAGGTGCTGGCTCCATTGCTGATAAGAAAGAACATACAACAAACACTGCGATGTTTTACTGCTACATTATATTTACCTGCTGTCGAGATGGAGCCCGTATTGTCTGCAGGCTAGAGGGATATTGGTGATGTCTCTTCATTATGGTCTGTGGTGTAGATAACAGCCGTTGTATATCATATATAATACACATCTGATTCAGTCTTATCCAGATGCCCATGTGGACGTGAGATGAATAGATCTCATTCCAGTGTTTGTGCATGTTTACAGCGGACTTCAATCGAGATGCAGGTTGGTTAAGATGATACACAATGTTAAAGGCTTATCAACCTGGAAAAACAGTTCTCATACCTTTTGTTGTTGATGTCAAAAGCTGTGTCCAATAAAAAAACTACTGTGCAAATTAGTGTTATTTTTGTTTTATTACTTAGCTTTCATTTTTATAATTTTAGTTTTCATGTTAATTTTAGTTCATTAGTATTTTATTATTTTGCATAATTTAATTGTGCTCATGTCATTTTATTTATAATTTTTTAGGGTACGTTTATGTGTCAATGATGAAAGGTTTTTCCTTTGCGTTTTTTGCGTACAAAAGACAACGTTGTCAAAGCGATCCCGTTCACATGGATCCGCGAAACGAAAAAAATAATTGTATTCTGCAGACAAGCCAGAAGTTGGCGATGTCACTTTGTAAAGAAAACCTACACTCCTATTGACTAAACACATAACACACATGCGCATGACGTCACCGTTTTCACAAATCCACGCTTTCTTTTAGTTTACACATGCAGAGACAATAACGGTATCGTTTTCAAAAACGTGCATTTTGAATCTCATTTTCAAAAGTTTGCATTTTTCAGGCCCTTAAAACACTGTTGTCGTGTAAATGAGCAGCCAAAACACATAAAGCTTTCCATTTTTGGTTGAAAACAGTGTTGTGTAAATGGCCCCTTAGTTATAGTTTTAATAATTTAAGTGCTTCAACTTATTTCAGTTTATTGCCAAGGTAATGTTTCTTATTTTCATTTAGTTTAAGTTTTTCAACTTATATTTATTTAAGTTTTTTTCAGCTTTATTTTAATTAACAGAAATGTTTTAGATAACGATAATAACCCTGGTACACATTCAGTTAAAATATACAGGCCAACTTGGACAAGATGAGTGACATTCACTCATCCTCAAAAACCATGAAAACTTCTTGAGATAAGAGAACATGCAACCTAGAATACATTAAATACAAGCTAAAATTAGGACAAACATGGTTTATGTTTTCATGGTTTTTTTAATGACTTTTTTATGTAACAAGCTGCATTGGTTTAGTCTTTATGAACCCACCACTAAATACAACAACTATTTTAAAAGTGTTAAATGAAATCTGGCAGCTCACTAAGGCTACTTTAACTTTTATACTGAGAGTGAAGCCTTGCATACGGTCAAACACAATGCCACACAAAAAAAACACAAAGTGCTAAACAAACAGAGCCGAGAGGCAGGAATGCAGCAGGAACAAAATGTGCTTGTTACAGTGTTGCAAATCTCCGTGTCTGGCCTTGGCCCCCCGAACCCAACAGGCTTATCATCCGATATTTGGCCGTGGATGAGCCGACTCGCTTTAATCCCCTTATAATTTCAAGAACATTCCTCACATTCCAGCGGACCAGTTGTGGCCAGCAGGAGAGCGAATGAACTGACGATTTTTGACATTGTGCTAGTGGTGATTCACAGAACGGTGGACGTGCATGCGTGAATGGATGGCTGTCCACTTGTTAGGTTTGTGGGAGTACATATGGGTCCATAACAGCATGGTTTGTATTTAATTGTGAATCTGTGCACATGTGCATTCAATGCAAATGTTCGTGTAACAGCATTGCATGTATGCATACGCATTAGAAGCTGTTCAAGTAGCCTATTATTTGCATTTTGTCTATACATTAACCCAGCTTAATCAGAGTTTGTCCATCCGAAATTGCTTTCCTACAGGACGCATTGTCACAGGAATAAAAGTCAACTGTTCCTGTGTCATTCGATGCACCTCGCTTTGCAATCAGGTGTGTAGACAGAACTGAACTGATCTGAGCTCAGATTGCCTTGTGTTGATAGAAACACAGCCATGAACTTTCCTCCGTTGCCAGATCCCTCTCAATTCCCGCTTCTCATACACACACACATACCACGAACACACACTCCACTGTTGATATGATGTCATCATATGCACACATAGGAAGTGCCTTATAAAGTCAGGCTATGCACCTTTGGAGCAGAAAGGGTCACTCAACCAGGCTTGAAGGAACACCAGCTTGAAATGTTTAAACAATAACATCACAGTAAGGTGTTTCTTCCAAAACATGTTTTTGTCTTATGGTAAGCCTATTAAAAGTGTTTATATTTTAGAGCTGAATGGTTTTGGCGGGAAATTGCATACATGCGTTCCTCGTCAAATCCGTAAATAGTTATTCAGAGTGCTTTGACGCGTGTCTGGTGTGAGAGTGGCAGAGGTTAGTTGGCACAACAAGAGAAAGGTTGACATGGAGAAGCGAAATCTCCAAACGCCGAACAGAGCTCGTAATAAAACAAGAATCAACATAGGCTCGACTTTTTGGAGATTGAGAACTGAGGGATTTGAAATAGGGCTGCACAATATTGGAAAAAAATGACTTTGCAATATTTAGTTTTTCTGCTAAATATATTGCAATATGAAAACAATTTCACCAGATGACATGAATAGCTCTATTTTGGAAAGAATTAATAATTCTAGAATGATTGGAAGTGAATCTGCATAAAAAATAATAAATAAATTACAAGCATAAATAAATACATATATGATATAGAAAAACAGTGATTTATGTTTTTCAGGTAATTCGAAACCGTATTCAGGTACAGAAATTGAATAATCAAATGTAAAATAACATTGCATAGTCTTAATATGACTTTATAAATTAAATATGATTATATGATTTTCTCTTTGTATTTTGTTGCATGATTAAAATGAGTGGCTATATAAGGCTGCTGTTACTTTAAGAATGAATGCACAGATCCAATATAATGATTCGCATATAATTCTCAATTGTTTATGGTCACGTAAGCCATAAGCGGCTGTGTTTACGAGGATACTCTCCAAGACCGGCATTTTGATATAATTTTGCGTGCATGTTTTCCGTTCAAGCACAAATAGTAGCGAAAGAGAAAGGAATTCAGTGTGTGGGGTCAGAATTGACTACTTTTTTGCGTCTTCTTGCACTCAAATGGTTTAAAATCGCATGAATGTTTAAACTTACAGGACCTAAATTATGTGATTAAAAAAAAGTGATAAAAAAATTATAAACTTTACCTCTATGATGGTTAAACTTTGCATTTACCTGCCAAGGGACAGCGGATGAAAATTAGCCAGTGTTGGCTAAATCTTGCGCATTTTACATTATGTATTATTAATGTGTATTGTGCCTGATTAAATAAATAAGTTTAAAAAAAAATTAAA